CAAAGAAAACAAAACAGCTCACAAACACATGGAGGCTTAAGAACATGCTCTTAATAATCAATGGATCAATGACCAAATTAAAATAGAGAGCAAGCAATATATGGAGACAAATGACAACATAGCACAAAGCCCCAGCTTCTCTGAAACACAGCATTCTAAGAGGAATGTATATAGCAATCAAGGCCTATTTAAAGAAGGCAGAACAATCCCAAATGAGTAGTCTAAAGTAACAATTATTGAAATTGGAAAAAGAAGAACAAATGAGGCCCGAAGTCAGCAGAAGGAGGGACATAATAAAGATCAGAGAAGAAATAAATAAAATTGAGATGAATAAAACAATAGAAAAAGCAATAAAACCAAAAGCTGGTCTTTGAGAAAATAAACAAAATAGACCTATTTAAGAGAAAAAGAGAGTGAACACACATCAACAGAATCAGAAATGAGAACGGAAAAATCACAAGGCAGCCCACAGAAATACAAAGAATTATTAGAGAATACTACAAAAAACTATATGCTAACAAGCTGGAAAACCTAGGAAAAATGGACAACTTCCTAGAAAAATACAACCTTCCAAGACTGACCAAGGAAGAAACAGAAAATTAAACAGACCAATCAGCAGCTACTAATCAAAAAAAATACCCTAGAGCAAAACCCCCAGTCAGCTGGCTTTAACCGTGGAATTTTGTCAGACATACAGAGAAGGCATAATACCCATTCTCTTTAAAGTTTTCCAAAAAATAGAAGAGGAGGGAATACTTCCAAACTCATTATATGAAGCCAGCATCACTCTAATACCAAAACTAGGCAAAGACACCACAAAAAAAGAAAATTACAGACCAAAATCCCTGATGAATATAGATGCAAAAATACTCAACAAAATATTAGCAAACCGAATTGAAAAATACATCAAGAGGATCATACACCACGACCAAGTGGGATACATCCCAGGGATGCAAGGATGGTACAACATTTGAAAATCCATCAACATCATCCACTACATCAGAAAAAGAAGCATAAAATCCACATGATCATCTCCATAGATGCTGAAAAAGCATTCGACAAAATTCAACATCCATTCATGATAAAAACTCTCAACAAAATGGGCATAGAGGGCAAGTACCTCAACATAATAAAGGCCATATATGATAAACCCACAGCTAACATCATACTGAACAGCGAGAGGCTGAAAGCTTTTCCTCTGAGATCAGGAACAAGACAGGGATGCCCACTGTCCCTGCTTTTATTCAACATAGTACTGGAGGTCCTAGCCATGGCAATTAGACAAAACAAAGAAATACAAGGCATCCAGATTGGTAAAGAAGAAGTCAAACTGTCACTTTTTGCAGATGACATGATATTGTATATAAAAAACCCTAAAGACTCCACTCCAAAACTACTAGAACTAATATTGGAATTCAGCAAAGTTGCAGGATACAAAATTAACACACAGAAATCTGTGGTATTTCTATACACTAATGATGAACTAGCAGAAAGAGAAATCAGGAAACAATTCCATTCACAGATGCATCAAAAAGAATAAAATACCTAGGAATAAACCTAACCAAGGAAGTGAAAGACCTATACCCTGAAAACTACGGGACACTCTTAAGAGTAATTAAAGAGGACACTAACAAATGGAAACTTATCCCATGCTCTCAGCTAGGAAGAATTCATGTCATCAAAATGGCCATCCTGCCCAAAGCAATATACAGATTTGATGCAATCCCTATCAAATTACCAACAGGATTCTTCAACTAACTGGAACAAATAGTTCTGAAATTCATATGAAACCACCAAAGACCCTGAATAGTCAAAGCAATTCTGAGAATTAAGAATAAACTGGGGGGTATCTCACTTCCCAACTTCAAGCTCTACTACAAAGCCACAGTAATGAAGACAATTAGCTACTGGTACAAGAACAGACCCACAGACCAGTGGAACAGAATAGAAGAGCCCAGATATAAACCCAAACAAATATGGTCAATTAATGTACCATGAAGGAGCCATGGACATACAGTGGGGAAATGACAGCTTCTTCAACAGCTGGTGTTGGCAAAACTGGACAGCTACATGTAAGACAATGAAACTGGATCACTGTCTAACCCCATATACAGAAGTAAACTCAAAATGGATCAAAGACCTGAATGTAAGTCATAAAACCATAAAACTCTTAGAAAAAATATAGGCAAAAATCTCTTGAACATAAATATGAGCAACTTCTTCATGTACATATCTCCCTGGGGAAGGGAAACAAAAGCAAAAATCAACAAGTAGAATTATATTAAACTAAAAAGCTTCTGTACAGCAAAGGGCACCATCGGTATAACAAAAAGACATCCTAAAGTATGGGAGAATATATTCATAAATGACATATCCGATAAGGGGTTGACATCCAAATTATATAAAGAGCTCATGCACCTCAACAAACAAAATGCAAATAAGCCAAGTAAAAAATGGGCAGGGGATCTGAACAGACACTTCCACAAAGAAGAAATTTAGATGGCCAACAGGGACGTGAAAAGATGCTCCACATCCCTAATCATCAGAGAAATGGAAATTATAACCACAAGGAGATTTCACCTCACAGCAGTTAAGATGGCCACCATCCAAAAGACAGACAAGAACAAATGTTGATGAGGATGTGGAGAAAGGGGAACCCTTCCTACACTGCTGCTGGGAATGTAAATTAGTTTAGCCATTGTGGAAAGCAGTATGGAGGTTCCTCAGAAAACTCAAAATAGAAATGCCATTTGACCCAGGAATTCCACTCATAGGAATTTACCCTAAGAATGCAGCATCCCAGTTTGAAAAAGACAGATGCACTCCTATGTTTATCACAGCACTATTTACAATAGCCAGGAAGTGGAAGCAACCTAAGTGACCATCAGTAGATGAATGGATAAAGAAGAAGTGGTACATATACACAATGGAATATTATTCAGCTAGAAGAAGAAAAGAAATCCTAGCATTTGCAACAACATGGATGGAGCTAGAGGGTATTATGCTCAGTGAAATAAGCCAGATGGAGAAAGACAAGAATCAAATGATTTCACTCATCTGTAGAGTATAGCAACAAAGAAAAAAGTGAAGGAACAAAACAGTAGCAGAATCACAGAACCCAAGAATGGACTAGCAGTTACCAAGGGAGAGGGACTGGGTAGGATGGGTGGAAAAGGAGGGATAAGGGGAAAAGGGGGCATTACAATTAGCACACATAATGTAGCAGGGGGATACATGAAAAAGGCAGTATATACAGAGAAGACAATTACTGATTCTATAGCATCTTACTACACTGATGGACAGTGACTGTAATGGAGTATGTGAGTGGGGGGTTGATAATAGGGAGAGCCTAGTAACCATAATGTTGTTCAAGTAATTGTACACTAATGATATCAAAAAAATAAAAAAATAATAACAAAACCAACAACAAAAATTAAATCGATTAAATTTGTATTTTTAAAAAGATGTTGGTAGATTGGATATTTTTAAAAAGCCAAAAAACAAAACCCCCCAAATCCATCTATCCACCATCTGTTAGAGATACTTTACATATAGGGACAAAGAATTTCAATGCAGAAGGGCAGTAAAAGATATTCCAAGCAAACAGTAATGTAGAAGAGCCGATGTGTCTATGTTATCATTAGACAAAATGCACTTCAAGTCAGAAAATAGTTAGAGACAAAGATGGACATTATTTGTTGATAAAAGGCTCAATAGGGCAATAAGATAAAACAATAATAAACATAAACTTATATGCTTCTATCTGCAGAGATCCATATATATGAAGCACCAACTGCACAGACATTAAGGGAGAAAAAGTGCTACAATGATAACTGACTGTAACACCCCACTGATGATAAATAAATGAGTCATACATAAGACCAATAGGGAAACAGAGGGTTTGACACTGTAAATCAACTAGGACTACAGACACATACAGCACAGAACACTTAAACAGCAGCAGTGTACACATTCTTTTCAAGTGCACATGGAACATCCTCTAGGATATACCGTACGTTAGGCCACAAAGTAAGTTTCAATAATCTTGAAAAAAGTAAGTTTTAAGTATCTTATCCAATCATAACAAAATAGAAGTAGAAATCACTAACAGAAGGGAAACTGGAAAATTCACAGATATGTAGAAAATCAACATGATGCTTTTAAACAAGTCATGAAGAAATCACAGGGAAATGAGACGCCTTGAGACAAATACCCAACTTTATGAGATGCAGTGGCAGCACTGCTAAGAGTAAAAGTAGAACTGTAAATATATATATTAAAAACAAATTATCTAAAATTGCTGAGCAGCAGTGCTTATTGCTCATGTTTCTTGGTGCCATTCTTCATTGCTCCATCCTTTGATAAATTTCTATAGACTCTTAGGATTTGTTTTCTGTATTTTGCCTGAATCTTTTCTTGGAGGCAGTGTTGTTTTAGTATGACATATTTTTAAATGATTTTCAATGCCAGACAGTGTAAACCATTCTAATGAAAACTTGTATTTTCCTGTTTAATCTCCTTTTCATCACCAGTGGTCACTTACTATAGGAAAGAGTGTGACTGTCTTATGACTGAAGGCTAGCTAGTGAGCTGTGTTTTTGCTTTACCTAATTATTTTTTCAGTTTGTAAGATAAAATCATTCCTTGTAGTAATACCAGTTTTTGTGACATTGAGCCACCTTTGCCTGTTCCCCTTTCTTATTTCCCAATTGCTTAATTTCTTCATTTTACAATGAATACTTAAGATGTGCCAGGATGAGTTCTAAGTGTCTTACATGTATTAGCTTATTTAATCTGCCTCACAACATTCTTAGCATCATGATAAATCCAGTCATTATTACAGTGGATTGAAGTCACTTGGTCAAGGTGGTAGAGCTGGGATTGAACCAAGAAGTTTTGCTCCAGGCGTGGGCTCTCTCCACCAAGCAAACATTCAGATATTGAGTGTATTTTCTAACACTTTCTCTTTGCTGAAATCCTGAATTTGTTGTATTTTTCAGGTCTTTCTGTGGAATTTGGGACAATTCTAATTTACACATGTGAGAAGAGTTGCTGGCCTCAGAATCATCAGACTCCCATGGAAGAATTTTGTATTGTACAAGAAGACCCAGATGCATTATTATTTAAGTAGAGCATTATTTTATTTATATAAATTAAAATAAATTTAATGTCCAAATTTGCTTTTACTTCATTTTGACTCACAAGTTATTAACTCTTATTTTTAAGTTTTGCCCTTTTTGCTTTTTGCCACTTGTGCTGGAGCTAAAGTGAGATTAAGAATCCCTGTCTGGTCTACCCTTCCAGGCCTGTCTGTACAGTGGCAGCTTGGGATGTGGCTCCTCTCCACCCAGAGGGCAGCTGTTACCTGCACTGGCAGCCTGGTGGGCATTCTAGGAGGGAGAGCAATTGAAGAGCAAGGAACAGCAGTCAGCCTCTGATTAACCCTGCTGCCTCTGTACTTCTCTCCTTTCTGGTGCTGTCCCTAGGTGCTGATGGATCAAACCACTCAACCTCCTCCAGCTGCTTGAGGCTCCCACCCTGTGACACCAGCTGTTTATACCTGCCCCATGTTCCCACTCCCCAGGACCCTCACCCTCACCCATTCGCACCTTCTGCCCCTACAGCATCAAGGAAAGGGGCCCTCCATTCGGCTATTTGCTTTCCCAATCTCCCCTTTCTCTTTCTTTTCAGTGTTTATGTTATCAACCCCTTCTGTTCTGGTACCTTGACAGCAGTATGAAAACATTCCCACCAACTATGTACAGACCTCTTTGCCTGCATAAATAAACAAACTGGGTATAAACAATTTGATTTGCTGCTCTGGTAAATAATGCATTAGGCCCAGATTATCATACGGTAGGATTCTCCTGGGCGGAATGTGACTGATGAGAACCCCATCTGATTCTGCCCTGCACAGCACCTGATGGAGAGTGGCTGGCAGTGTGCAAACTGAAGGTGCTGGTCAGTGAGGCTTCAAACATGCTGGGTTTTATAGGGGAAGAAGAATTTTCCCTTTACTCTTCTAGGTTCTTAGTGAGAACCCACTGTAATAACAGACAACATAAGAAAAACAAGTTTACAACATGTATACTTCTATATACATGGAAGATAACCAGGGAAACAGTAACTCCCTGAGATGGGCCAAGCCATCACCTTAAATATCTTTTCAGCTAAAGACAAAAGATGGGGGAGGGGAGACAGGGTGTAGGTAGTTATAAGAGGTTATCAGGCAAAGCATGGTAAACAAGGGTAGGGTACGGTTGTTATATATTAAGTAAGAAAGATAGGAGAAAGTAAGTCCAGTGTGGATATATCTAAATGTAAAACTCATTGCTGTGTAAGAGATCTAGAGCTAGAAAGAGAAAGGGCCCTGAGGAATAGGATTAGGCATGAGTGGCACTTTTTCTCACTTCCTGCAATTGTATTCAGTTGGAATTTGTCAAGGTAGGCAAGCATTTTACACTTGATGCACACACACAAATCCACAAAGAATAGCAAAGATCCTCACGTGTTCAGCCCAGTCTAGGCCAAGGAGAACAGCCAAGGTAGGTGGCTTCCATTCACTTTGTCTAGAGGGAAAGGTAAGGTTACGGTCAGCATCCTGCAGCAAGCCTCTTGTGTCAGCTGCTTGTGTGGGGTTATCTGCGGGAAGAGGGTGGGATCAAGGAAGTTAAAGGAGTGAATTATTTCAAGCAAGGTTACCTTCCCTTAGAGGAAAGCAAGGGCTCTTACCGGGCAGATTACCTCACTAGTGCTGACCAAGGAATTCCATAGACTAACAAGTTTAATATTGTACTCCTGGGAGAGGCTGAAACTACAGTCAGGTTAGGTGCCAAGTGTTGGTTTGCTGGTGTGAGGCTTAGCAGAAGTGACTCCATTTTGAGCCTGTTGTTTCTTTTTTAACAAGCACTTGTATCACATAATTGTCCTTTTTCGTGGTTGGGAAAATTTATTCTTCCTGATTTTAAAATTAGCATTTTCTTTGAGGAGCATGAGCATTTTGGATATACAGAAAATTATAAAGAATAAAAATTATCCTCAATTCTACTACAACCGAGATTCACAACATTAACTGTGGTTTTCTTCCTGTTTTTTAATGTATTTTTCGTTTTTACAAAATTTAGTCATACCAATGGTTTTATATTTTTTTCATTTAATATTGTGAGCATTTCCCCCATCAATAGTTGCTCATGAGATAATTGTAGTTGCTGCCGAGTATCCCCCCCCCGCCCCCACTAACCCTGCATTTTTAACATGCATCAAAAATCTAACACCAGTTTTGGCCATTTGTTTTTTTCCATTTTTTGTTGTCATGATAACATGCCTATGGCTATTTTTTTTTTCTTTTTAAAATCAGTGAAGACTGCTGAAGGACAAATTCTTAGATTAGGAATGAGTAAGTCAAATGCCATGCACAATTTTAGTTTTTTTATAATCATATTTTCAAATTACCCTTGTTAAAAAAAAAAAGACAACAGGCTGAAAATGGAGTTATGCTAAGTCCCATATCACCAAACAGACTTTACAGATTCCCAGAAATGGAATCTTAAACCAGTCAATCAGGAATCACTTGATCAGCACTAGTTAGGTAATCTGCCTAATAGATTCCTGCCATTACCTAAAGGAAAGTAACCTTGCAATAACCAACCTACTTTTTTGCCAAGTATAATTTCCTTATTCCCATTCCCTTCTAGCTATGAATGTCTTTCATTTCATACAGCTCCTCCAAGCCCCTTTCTGCTAATTTGAATGCTGCCTGATTCAAATTGACTTTTGGTCAAATAAACTACTTTTTTATTATGCCTGTTGATCCTTTAACCCCTTCTAGAAAAGCTTTTAGAATCCTTACCTGAGGATGCAGGAATGCTTGTCTTCCTTTCTCTTGACAACACAGGGTTACACTTTTACTTTTTCCCAGTTTAATAGGTAAAAATAATTTAAACCTTATTTTGCATGTATTTGATTAAATTTTAATATGCTTATTGATTATATTGTCCACTTTGTGAGTGCTGTTCTTGCCTATATTTTTTGTTTGGGTGACATTTGATTTCTTGTTAATTTGTAAGAGTTGTTTACATACAAGGGCATCGGTTCTCAAACCTGTAAGTAAACCTCGGCTGGGAGTTCACACCCCAGGGTAAAATGTGACTCTTAGGCTTTTAAGCCGTTTGGCGTTTCTGGCTACGATTGTGAAAAACACGACCAGGTTGGATTAACGCCGGTGGTGCATAAAGTCTTGCTCAGAGCCCAACCCTAACAGCGGCCCACCGACGCCGCCTCGCCGGCGCCAACGGGCGGCCGCAGTGCGCAGGAGCGGAAGCTGGGTCGCCCTTCCCCCACCCGCTTCCGGCCGCGGCTCAGTTCTCCCGCCTCCGCCTCCGCCGCGGCTCGTGGTTGTCCCGCCATGGCACTGTCGCGGGGACTGCCCCGGGAGCTGGCTGAGGCTGTGGCAGGGGGACGGGTGCTGGTGGTGGGCGCGGGCGGCATCGGCTGCGAGCTCCTCAAGAACCTCGTGCTCACCGGCTTCTCCCACATCGACCTGGTGAGGGCCAAGCGTGCGCGCGGGCTGAATGGCGGGCCGTCGGGCCGGGGACTCTGGGCCCGGAGGTCCGGACCGGTGTTGGGGGCGGCGGCAGGCCAAGAGCCCTGGGGTTGTGGCCGCCCACGGAGAGGGAGCTCCTCGGCGGGGACGGAGCGGGTCTCACCGCACGCCGGGCCCTGCGGCCTCTTTTGGGGTCTGGAGCGGGCCCGGGTCTTCCGGGCGTCGCGCGGCGGGCCTGCCCCCACCTTCGGGGCAGCGCTGGTTTGTGGCGGCACAGCTGTGGGAGCGGCCTCGTGTCTTTTTTCTTATGAGCAGTTCCTCAGCAGGAGGCGATTGAGTCCCTCGTGGATGTTGAGACTGTTCAATTCGGAGATCCCCCGTAACTCAGAAGTAATGATCCAGAGCAGAGAGGGTGGCGCTAAATAGCAACCAAAACATGCTAGCTCTGGTCCCGAGCACGAAGCGGTCCAACGAGATTTGGCATTAAAGCTTTTTATTTTCCTTACCACAGTAAGATTGCAAACGCTGTTTTCATCCTCCACCTCTTTTTTTTTTAAGTTGGGAGTAAAAGTGAAATGCAGCGAGGTTTAGTAACTTAACCTTGGGTTACGAAGCAGGTGACAGAACTCCTTTGGGGCTCACGATCCTCTGTTCTGAGAATCTGCGTGATACGTTGGCACCATAGATAATACGCTCGCTTATTTCATTAAAGGTGTTGGTTGGGATTTTAACTTGCATTGGTACACAGTGACTAATTTTAAATCAAGTTGTTTCTGTTAATATAAACTTTTTAGAGATTGGAGATGTTGCCTGGAACTGGGATGATGTGAGTTAAAGTCTTAAGATGTAGTGGATACACGGAATGAAAAAAGTAAAGGAGGCCTACTGAACGAATAAATGAGTTGGCTGGGGGCTTGCTTTATTTTTTATAGTTATTCTATCCAGTTTTGTACCACAAACCCGTGATTGTGCCTTAACTGGTAACTACTAGTACTTGTTCAGAAGAATCTTTTTGTAATAGACGTGACAGTGAATTTGGACACCTCAAAGTACAAATAAAAAATGATGTTCAGGTGGTTAGATGTCTTGATGTTTTTTACCAGGTATAACCAGACCCATTAAGATGTTTCACTATTAGAACATCTGCTTACTCTAAATATAAATTTATTGAAATGGAATGAAAATGGCATTAGTTATTATTTTCTTATATTTGCTTTTAAGCCGCAATTAGATAATACTTAAAATGTGGCACTTTTTTAACCTTGTGTGGAAGTTCACCTTCACAGCCGTTAGGTAGTAATCGTAAATGAAATTGTGTGTGATTGAAAAAATTCAATTCTTTTTAATTCAAAAAGAAGACTCTTGAATTAAAGTGGCAAAAACTCAGCAAGTCTGCTGAGTACCATTTAAGAAAAACAGCACAATTAAATCTAATTATATTGGATTTGACAGAGTAAGTACATTGATAAACAAATTATATAATACATTTTCAATAAAATCACACATGATTTTATGTCATCTACAGAATATCCTAACATACTTGCCAGGATGATTAAACAAGAAAAATGCATCCATTCTTTGTTTAATATACACTCAACTATATTTAACAATTTTCTATTATTGGTTGAAAAGCATTTTCTCCACTAATGTAGCAAATATCCAAAGTTTTGGGTTGTGGATGCTGAGGATAGTGATAGTGCTCAAATGTATCAGGGTATTTGTGATTTATCTGGTATTTATGTATTTACAGATTGATCTGGACACTATTGATGTCAGCAACCTCAACAGGCAGTTTTTGTTTCAAAAGAAACATGTTGGAAGATCAAAGGCTCAGGTAGCTTTATTTTGCTCATACCATTTCTATTTATCCATTTATATTTCTACCCTCTGATGGATCTTATATTGTAACATTAATATGGGCTCTCCAGTAGGAGGGACAGTTTGGGGGGAAGCCATCTCTTTTTATTTATTTATTTATTTAAATTTTTATGAAGGTATTATTGATATACACTCTTATGAAGGTTTCACATGAAAAAACAATGTGGTTACTGTATTTACCCATATTATCAAGTCCCCACCCATA